TCAAAGGAATCTAGGAGGCAAAAATCTCTAAACAACCACACATGTGTTGTGCATTGTGAGACTTTAACAATGAAGCAAGTTTACATTTGGTAGCGTATCAAATATTCTGAAGGATAACATCAATAAACAAATTCAGGTGCATTCAATTACCTCACAAGCTACAGAGAGTTGGTTGTTTTAACTATTAACTAGCAAGTAGCAACTAAGGAAGAAGAATCTAAATGCACATGAAAACACAGATTGAAGAGCTTCATCACTAGCATATATAGGAAGAAGATAATATTACCACTCCCCTCAGCATTCTTAAGTTGGGATCTCTTCTTGAAGTCCCAAAACCAAGAACTCTTGAAACTTTTGTTACTTTTCTCCTCATAAACTGGAAAACATGATACATCACATACCCATAGATGGCAGTTCTGACCAGAAACCATATATACCACTTAAGTCCATCTTTTTTCCTTGCTCGAAAGCTTGTTTCAGCCTCAGATTGCCATTTCAAGTACCACGATGAGCCAATAGATACATGGGAATATTCTGGCCAAGCCATTCCCAAGCGCAGCCTCACCTGCCAGAACAGAGCAAGATAAAATACAAGAGAACAAAAGGCAGACCAAAAGGCTTGTATGTTTCTTTTAGCTAAGAAATCGAATCACTCTATTGAGCAATTCAACCAATTACCTCATAAGGGATAACAAACTCCACAAGAGGGAAAACAATCATCACCATTATATCGTCATTAATTTTTCTAATTTTCTCAAATGCCCATTTTCTTGGGGCTAACACTTTAGGGCTATTCCACAACAAAGTAAAGCACTGACGACAAAATTCCAATGGAAGGAGAAACTGCTGCCTGAAGTCCAATTCAGAGAAGGGAATCCACATTAGCTGAACTGCGGTGGGAATGTTAGCCCCAAGCATTCTCATATACAATGCATCAAAACCACCAAAATCTTCAAACAGCATTTCAAATTCCTGGAACAAGATACACAACACGGTATGACTCAGGGCAAAAAAGAGGAATAAAATAGTGGGGAACTAAAGGAGAAAAATCAACTTTCAGACATCGAAAACTCCATAAAGGATCTTACACAAATATCAACATAATACTCTTTGTCATCTCCCTTAAGCATAACATACATGGCAGCCCAATCGTGCCTTATTCGAGCACCTTCCACAAGTTTCCTGGAGACAGCATAAGGAACCACTATTGGGTCCAACTCCCACCTATTCCTTTGTTCATTATACCAAGTCCTGGACATCACTCTATCCCGATCCCGCAGAATGCGTTCCTACAATAAACATTGCTTTTCAAGTCAGATAACAAGGAGCAAAGAAAATGCACAAATACCATATGATCATTCAGCAGATGAAAAGAAGAGTTAATTTGAACAGAATAATAAATTAGTTATGATTGGTATGGAACTACACAGAAAAATAAACCTTATGTGCAATAGTTTATTAAAATTACTACGACACTTTGCTTGCTTGCTTTACTATTCTCCACAACCGTCCCAGATGCCCCCATAGAGAAAAGAATCAACTCAACAATCATTATTATACAATCACACATTCTACTGCACACTCACATATTGCCACATCCCAGTCACCAATCAACCCAAACATGTCTTCTTACTATTTCTAAATTAAATCAACTTCCATCATCATATTTTCCATTTAATCCAATCAATCACCAATCTTCTTTCAGAATCTCTTTCGAAAATACTATTATAAACATGAAAAGATATTCAATCACTCCCTTAGGCCCCCTCATTCTTTCAAATGATGACATGGCAGAGAGATTCTTTTCATACCATAATGACAAACCAGTGTCTCAGAACAGTGAGTTAACTAACTCACCATACACAAGAACTGTGGTAAACGCACACAGAGTGATTTAGTTAACTCAACAGCACAAATATGAAGAGGTCTAAAGTACTTAAAAAAGAAGGAAACAAGCCTCTGCCCTAATCATGATGTTTCTCAGAGATTTTAGCTGTTTTTCGTACATCAAGAAGTAATGAGCTACTTCCAGACGAAGTCAGACAGATTAGTCTGCATAATTGTCACAGGAGTCTGCATTTCCTCTATAGCATTAAACTAAAAAAACCACAATATTGATTACGCTACACAAGGCAAGCAAATAATTGCTCAATGAAATTTTTTAATATCCAAATACAAAAAGGTTTAACATTGAAAAACATTCCATATGTCCATTTGCACATGACATGAAACCCAAAACCATGGCAAAAAGGAACAGGTAAAGAACAAATCCTCAAAGATATGAAACAAGTGTCTCAAGACACGGTAAAAGTAAGATAACATTAAATTAGTACCATAATAGTTCTGGCAAGAATTACCTGTCTGTCAGCGATGTACTTTTTACATAGTTCAGAATCTTCCAAGAGACTCTGTTTAAGGTCCATCTTAACATCTTCTCGCCATTTTTTCCAACCGTGAAGTAAGTGGAGGCTCACAGCTCTTGGAACTGCTACCTCTTTCTTTCCAAACGTCCACTTAAGCTCAATATCTGGATAGCCCTTGACAACCTCATCAGGAGGCGTGACTGCAATATATCTTCTTTCCTCACCATGTTTCCTCATAGTCTTCCTGATTTGATCCTCCAGCTCCTTTTGCATCTTCCTTGAATTCCTAAGTGCTTGCTCTATATGAAAAGTATTAGCAGTTGTATCTTGACCCGTGAGAGATTCAGTACCTTGACTAGCGAGAACATCTGGTAAAATTATTTGCTCCTGAAGGAGCCTATGTGCATTTTGCAGTTCTTTCTGAAGCTCCTCCTTAGAAAGCTTCGTATCAGGCTGACCTGAGGTACTGCAAGCCATATGACCAAAAGGCAGAATAAGCAGTGAAACTATGAAAGGTAAATAATATCCTAGCAGTAAATAAACTGCAACTTCATGCAATTGATTGTCAGAGCTGGGAACATCCATAACCTATTCCTCAATGGAATGACCACGTAAACAAAGACGGGAGTACAGGAGGTTAATTTATAAGCTCATAATTTTCCTTTAAATTTAATGTCTTCCTTGAGTACGAGATCTCAAAAGATGGGCTGCATAAAAAAAAAAGAAAGAAAAAAAAAACACTGCTGACCATCAGCTCCTTTCTGGGGCTTCAGATTCTCAATATTCACGATCCAAATCCAAAAACCAATGAAGTAAAACTTAGACGAAATGGAAACAAAATACGCAAAACAAATAATCAAGACACAAGGAAACCTGCAAATCAGGTATCTAAAGACATCAAGTAGAAATCAGATGACATAATAACAAAGTCGTCTTACATACCAAACAGCAAAAGAGGAAATGATACAACATCTGACAACCACCTTAATCCCTCTCAAATAAAATTTTTCATCAGATGGGTACTTATGCTCTCAATCCATTTTAATAGCATAGTAAAACCAGCATTTTCTTACCTCCGATTTTCACGCCCCTTTATCTCCTTCAAGAAGCTCTCGACCACAGCCTCACACTCTCCCTCTATAAAGATAAGCTCCCTCACTCTAATGCTCAATGCCACAGTCTCTTCCCTCACGATCAAATTCTCAATCTTCCCAATCCTATCCAAAGCATCATTGTACTCTCTCTCCAGGCTCCTCCTCCCCTCCCTTAGCTTCTCCACCCTATCACCACCAGCAACACTGCCGTCTTTTGCCTTTGTCATCAAACTCTCTTCCTCCCACTTCAAATTCAACTCTTTATTCACAATTTCTTCACATCGATCAATCAGCTCCTCCTTCTCAGCATTCAGAACCTTCAGCTCGGAAATAAGACCTTCTATTATCTCCTCGTGCAGTGCCCTCTTCGTTGTTTTAACCTCATTCAACCCCTCCTTGACACTGTTAACCATAGTATCTTCTATTTTACCATCTTTCGCCTCTTGGATTGTATTAAGAAGCTTTGAGACAACACCTAGTAGCCTCCGAGTGTGAGCCGGGTACTTGTCACCCTTCTCCTCATTCTCTTCACTTAGAACTGATTGGCTTGCGGATGAAGGAGAGGCAGTAACCACAGCAGCCAAAGCGGGCTTCCGGATCCCGAAAAAGGGACAGACAAACCCAAAAACTACATAGAATAATGCGTATATGATAGGCCAAGCAGCGGGCAGCTTAATTTTTTCGACATTACAGCGTCTGGAATTGTTGTATATGATTCTGGATCGGTTTTTGTTAGCTTCGTCACCATCAGCACACGAATGTTGGACGCTACCTCGGACTTTCTGAAATCCAATCGAGTATATTGGCTTGACGAAGAATGGGGAATTTCTTGCAAAGGAAATCGAGGTTTGAGTTTTGGTTTTCAGTTTGGCGCCGGGATGAAATGGGAAGCTGAAGAGCGAGGGGTTATACTTATACAGGGTTGAAGTTAAAGTAGAATTCACCATCACATTTGAAGCTTGGTTTTGCATTTAGGTCTCAGCACTCCTGGAAGAGATAAGCGGGTGCTTGAGTCAGTTTGGATTTTGAATTCGAGTCTGGAGCACGGCGACACCGCAAATTCCTGGTTACGGTAAGGTACACTAGGTTGCGATTTGCACAAACTAATATCTTTTATTTTATTTTATTTTTCTAGCAGCAATCAACCTAAATGCATCTTTAATTAATTATTCTATTTTTTAAAACTAGTGCGTGCCCAACGGAAAAATAATATTTTAATTGTATTATAAATTAAATAAATAAATAACATTAATCATGATTTACCTATTATTTTTAAACTAAATTGGGTTGGACACAGTCCGACCGGATGGACCGAGAACCGGTTTATAACCAGTCTAGTCGCTTGAATAAAATATTTGCTGTCGAATTCGTCAACACCAGTCTGTTGGACTGATAGGATCGATAGGATTTTCTAAACAAATTTTGTTACATTAAAAATTATTTTAAATAAAATTATATATTTAACTAAAATAGAGATTTATAAATTGTTTATCAATTAGTTTAAACATTTGAATTTATAAATTGTTTAGATATTTAAGTAACAATTTTTATTTAAATTTACTACAAAAAGTACTATATATATATATACACTAAAATATAATGTATTAAAATATGAACAACTACAAATGATTTAATAAAATAACTTGATCGTTTCGTGACGGTCCGGTTCTGAAAACCTTATATTTACCGTACATTAATATAAATTATAATAAAATAATTATTTTGTTCACATAAATAATAATAAAATTATATATAAATATTCATAAATCATTAATGATGTATGATTATTTGAGATTTGGACTACATCACATTCACGTAATAAAGTATTTTTAATATTAAAATTTATATTTAGGTTCAATCATCGATTTGGTCTGGTCAAACTGATACATAACTTAGTTACCTGGGACCAACCAAGTTGTGTCAAGTTTTTTTACTATTTTAAATATCACTTAAAAGTAATTCAATCAACATGGACAGTACCCTAATTCAATCATCCGATTGATCCAAAGTAATTTCCTTATTTTCTTTGAATATAATATTTAATTTTATGAAATAAAAAAATTTTATGATTCATATGTCTACACCAAATGATAGTATATTAAGATTATATATTATATATCTAAAGATGAATTATTTATTTTTATTTTATGCATATTAATAAAAAATAAACATAGTAATTTAAAAAAAAATCAAGATTAATTGATTGGGTATGCAATTTAAAAAATATTTTTAGCGTTCAATATATATATATATATATATATTTTTAACATGATTGAATTTTTGGATTAGAATATATATATTTAAAATGATTTTATTATTAAAAGTCAAAAAGAAAAGATGTCATAAAGATTACAACTTTGAAAAGTTTGTAACCATTAATTTAGGAACCATCCGATTTTAAATGATTTATAATTTTTGAAACATGATACGTACTTTGAAAAGTTTATAACCATTAATTTAAGAACCATCCGATTTTAAATGATTTATTATTTTTGAAACATGATAACGTGCATTTAAAACCCATTAATATAGGAACCATCCAATTTTTTGATAATGAATTAAAATTAAAATGTAAAATAAAAAATTTGCTGAAAATAGTATATAATAAATGTGGGTTGACTTTTTCTTACTACTATTTATGATAAATGTTAATTCTTATTATATATATATAGATTTATTTTATTGTACAACTAAAATCTATATATCTATACTTATATAAAAAGTTATCACATTTACTATAATTAATAAGAAGAAAAGTCAACTCATAATTAATTGCACACTATATTTATAAAGTTTTAGATATTTTAAATCATAAAATAGGGTACCATTTTTTTTATTTTTTTTTCAAATCGATAGGTAATCTCATATCAAATAAAACATAGTTCAAATACAAGCACGTACAAGTCCTGAAGCCGAAGGTAAAGGAAAACCAGGGAGCACTACTTACACAAGTAGGCTAAGAAAATACATCATAACACACACTAAAGGCAGATGTAATCTGCAACCTTTAGTGAAAAACAGTGCATAATCTAGAAGTTGGGATACAAACAAGAAACACCAAACCACTGAACTACGAAGTAGACCTAGTTAGGAGCACATTGCTTATTGGACTTCAGAGGAACTTGGTCCTAGCTTCATGCCATTCTCTCACAGCACCTTTGATGATGATGTGTTCTGGCCTCCAGTTCTTTTCAAAAACCCAAAGGTTTTTAGATTTCCAGAGCCACCACAGGATGTAGGTGGTGAGCTCTATTCTGTCTTCAGCAACTTTGGATTTATCCATACAACAGACTGTCCCCCACCAGTCTTTGAAAGGCCAAAGTATCCCCATTGATACCATCCCAGTTAACAGGTGCTCTTTTCCAAACCTTCCTTGCTCTGGGACATGTAAGGAGTGCATGCTCAACTGATTCAACAGCTTCTCCACAGCATGGGCTAAAATATGGTACCATTGAATGCCCCTAAAATTATGGGTTTTGTTGAATTCATTTTTGAAAATTTCGACACATATTGAAGTGAATATGAAATTCAAAATCTTTTCTCATTTTATTTTTAATAAAATATGCATCTAAATTTACGTGTGGTTTTGAATTGAAAATTTGAAATTCAAAATCTCTTCTCATTTTAGTTACAAGAAAATCAGACTGCATTCAACACTTGGACCAATTTAAAAATTATTCCTTAAATGAAGGAATTTATAGATAATTGTTATATCTACTTAATCACGTGATTATTTTCAATATAAAAAGAGACAAATTACAAATTAGTGAATCATATATTACCTAATTCAATATCTTAACATTAAAGAATAAATTCATAGTATTATGTAAATCCGTATCTCATATTATTATATCATTAAGAATATATTATAGTTATATTATCAAATCATAAAAAGATATTAAATCCATATTGTAAAAAAAAAATAATTCATATAATTTTATAACAGTTTTACTACACTATTTAATAGTATTCATTTTTATTATATAATAAAATAATAATTAAATATTATATAGTGAACAACAATAAGTAAAACTGCTACTTTCTCTTATGTCAAGGGATAAATTTATATGTTAAAATTAAATTTTTATTAGTATAAATGTTTTAGTGAGATAATATATTAATTATTCTACAAGCTAGCCCTAACATGCTCATATCTAATATTCTGGCTAAAATAACAATGCTGGTTAAAAGATGTGGAAAAAAAACTTATAATAACCCTATTGTTTTTTAGACTTAACGTTGATTAAAAGAGGTAGAAACTAGATAATAACCCTATTATTTTTTAGACTTAAACAAACAAGGGGGTGAAAATAACTCATTTAATATCTCTGTCACGTGCATCGCACGGGGTACGTACTAGTATATAATTACTTACTGTTAGCATTTAATAAAACCTATTTAATTTTACCTATGTGGCAATATAACCATTTCCCTCCAAATGCCGTTACTTTTGGTTTATTTAACCATTCATTTAATTATTAGATAATCAACACACTAATCACTTCAAAATTACAATAAATCATTTAAACTTTTATAATGTGTTGACTGTATAATGTGATTAGATGTTATTATTGTGGTGTGATTAGATGTTATTATTGTGGTTACATTTAAATTATTATTATTTTTAGAAAATAAAAAATATATTTGAAATTCCTAATTAAATAATAAAAATAATTAAAAAAATACATACCAAAATATACGTTTCATCCAATCTGATAAACACAATTTAAAAAAATAAATATTCCAGTTCTTTTAATTGTAAATTTGGCGAAAAAAAAAAAGTGAAAAAAATCATTAATCATTATATGGATACAAATAACTCACAATACTGTATTTACATTTGTGCAAATGCACAGGTCGAATACTAGTACCTTTAATTATGATTAAAATCTATAAATTACTAGTTATTGTAATTAAATACAATATGTATACTTTTTGGTTAGTAAATTTTAACTAAATGATTAATAAATTAAATATTTATATATGTTATACATATAATTCGTATTCACTCTGGGCCGGGCCATTAAGTCGAGAAGTGTACACACCATGCCGTTAAGAAATTAGCATAGATTATGGAAAGGAACACCTCAAGAAACTCTATTGTTAAGAGCATGTCGATTCAAATCCGTACTGGACGTCGATCTGTCCTTTTCCTTCTCCAAGAAAGATTGTTGATCGTCCTATGTTGTGCATGAGAACTGGCAAAGCAGACTGTTAAAGCGATCGCTCAGTCGGTCCTATCACTAAAAGAAGAGTTTTTGCATGGGGATGCTTTTTCACTCCGCTACTCCCTTAGTTGGCCCATGTTGACATCTGAGTTGAGCTGGGTAGATCCATAATTAAATATGACCGCTAAATGAAGAAATAGTCGTGTCGAGCACTCGGGTCAGGGAATCGCGTGTGAAAACAAACCTCATAAATATGAACACCCCGAGGCCGAGCAAGCAGTAAGCAGGACACATAGGTCGGATGACTATATGTGTAAACCCAACCTGGAAACTATCAATCAGCAGATATATCAATTTCTAGTTGATGGGCTTTTACTTCAACGAATGGAACCTTAGCTTCTGCTTACCTGGTCCTTCCTCACCAACAATAAGAACACTCTAGGATGCAGTGAGTATAAAATTCAAGCGCGAAGTAGACTTATGCACATCTATATAGCCTCACAATGTTAAGCGCATTATGTTAAGAGAATCAAAATCATAAAGATGGCATCTCAGTATGGGTTTATTGGAATATCACTTGTGATTTGTCCTACATTTTGAATAAATGGGGAAAATGAGCCTAGTTTATAAGTTTGGTGGATTACACCTACCATCACTAATTAGTTTTAAGATGCAACCTTACTAATGTGGCTACTAGGTTCACCCTCTTAAGGTGCGTTTCATTCTTGTGGGACCGCACACATTACCAATTATATAATTTTAGCAGGGTTATCAGAGCAATTAACAAGCCAATTACCGATTTCAAAAGTGCTCATGCACACAACACCCTTTCACAAGCACATGCAAGCTCAGAATTGAAAGTACTTGCAATTAGAATTCGAACACACAATTTCGGCAAACCCTTTTCCTTAAAATGTCAGTATTTCAATTGTATGATATTTTATGTATTACTTAATCTTTTATATTTAAACCTTTTTATCAATCAATTTTCACTTGTATTTTGTTTATAATCCAATGCTCTTTTTGTGTTCTTGTTTCCTTTAATATAAGGATGAACTAAGATAGAGAAGTCTTCTCTATTAATAGAAAATTTGGGCATTGATAAATACATCATCCCTAAAAGCCTCAAAGCTCAATGGGAAAGAGCATCCAACCCACAATTATACATAATCACTACCCAATAACTAAAAATGTGGGCGAGACATAAACTTCCACCATCTATCCTCACACGCACAAATAGGTCGGGTCCAAATAAAAATCGCCTCCAAACAAATATACATGGATGTTGTGATACCCATGTTACATGAGCCTAGGCTTAGACCCTGAGCCTTGGCATTAGCTGGTAGTTTGTATACTGAAAGTTTTTTTTTTTTTTTTTTTTANTTTTTTTTTTTTTTTTTTTTTTTAACTTGTTTAGTAAGAATCATGTCTAGTCAAAAGTGTTTGCATTTTATTTATATATGGTAATGCAAATTGTCCATTTATTTTATATTGTAGATAACATTATAGGGATGGTTGTTGAATAATAAGTGTTATTACTGGCGGATGGCGGTAGTGGAAGCATGCCAAAATCACGTTACAACGACCATCGTGGTTGTTTATGGCATAGCCATAACTGTCATCCTTCACAAATTTAGCATGGTAGTTTGTCAAAAATTCGTCATGCCATTACTTCCATGGCAGCCATTTGATAACATCAAGTATTATTTGGAATTAGTTTGTCTTAACTAATTATAAGAAGCAAAGAAAAAGCATACTAACCGGAAGAAGGATATTAAAGGTATGTCTTCTACTTTCTTGCGTATTTAATTATGATGATGATATTTGGCTGAGAATAATATATCAAATTGTTCGTCTAAACTCATAGATTTCAAAACTCTTGACAATTTTAAGAACCCCTGTCTGAAAGGACACAAACGGCGCCACGAACTTTCATGTTTCGGCGACCCCAAATCCGACCTTTCAGGCAACCAAAACTTTATAAAATATATACTATATTAATTTCCTTGTTCATAGGACCGTGTGGCTAATTTAGATTTTGATTTCATGGTGTTGAATATAGGTAATGAGTCGTATATATGCGTATTTGTCGTTGTGCACAATCTGTTCGTATTTCTATTGTTTTGACCTTCGAGTTTTGGTGACTCTTAGTCTCTTCATTAAGCTTATAGTTTATCATCTTATATTTCTATGGAACAAGATTACAACAATATCACAAATAGCTACTTTATACAGAAAGTTACGTATAAAATACGTTAATCGCACATGTCTGATTTGTGCTAAACATGACTTTGTTCGGTATACTGGTTGATGAGACTTTTTCATAAATATAACATTCTGTTTTGATTTTAGTGTCTTCACAAAAGTTGTATTTTTTATCTATTGAATTTACAACATTTCAAGAATAAGTCTAAAATATATTTTATAGCAAAAGTTATGTTTGTTATACGTAGATTGCGCATAAGTTTTATGTCCAATTTTTACAACAACGGTACTCCCTGTTTGGATAAAATTTACACCTTTTAAATGTTCTCATTTGTACTTGATGACTAAACACGAATTTTAAAGGAGGTCTTCAGATCGTATTAGAATTGGAATCACTATAATACATATTTTCGATTTGAAGTTATGTTTAAATTATAAACACTGCATCTAGCTGTTTTTTAGTCAGGTTTTACTGCAATTTCTCTTCGGTTTTGTCTAGCTTTCACCCTCCTAATATGTTTGTCTATATTTCGAGTTTGCATATGAATTGTAGGTTTGTGTCTTGTTAATATATAGGATAATAAATTATTTAAATATAAATTATATAGCAAAAGTTACGTTTAAAGAACGAATATTGCACATGTTTTTGTTGTTAATACTATAAAACTTAACAATGAGTTGGTACTCTTAATCGATTGATTATTCTTACAGTTTGCTAGTTAATAAATATAAAATAATATTTTGATATTTTAAAGTATAAATTAATGAATATATATTTGTTCTGATTAGATCAAGTTAAACATACGAACTGATTTCGGTTTTGCAAAGCTATAAGCTAAAGACTCGAGGTAAGTAAAAGTTCATCTGCAACTACAATACATAAACCGAGTATTGATGTACTCAATTATGTGATATGTTAAGAGTGATTGGTATAATGTTGATGTGAATTTATTGTTGCTAATTGATATTTTCCTAATTATTGAACATTACATACATTTCATGAGTACATGCATGCATGTGTCACAGTTTAAGAAAATATATCGCATGCACGATACAATGAGAACAAAAAAAGTATTTTGTTATTATTTGACCACTACCATGCAACGAGGTCAAGTGTCCCGTGAGACATTGCTTTAAGGCGTGTGAGACGTAAGGACTTGACTTATTATTGTGTTATGCTCAGTGAATGTTGCTTCGGGCTTGTGAGACGGAATTGGACTGAGTCATTCAAGTACCCTGTGAGCCATTGTTTTAAGGCGTGTGAGATGACCAGGACTGGAATCTTATGATTATTGATGATATTGAGCTCATATTCAGTGCCTAGTAGTGAGGTCAAAGGGCCAAGAGAGAGAAAAATTTTCCAAAAAGAAAAGTCTTTACATCATGAGTCGTATACAAGCCTTTGCATTTCATGTTGAAATGCATATCAATTGAGGATGTTATTTTTTCGCATGCATAACATTTGCTTATTGAGCACTAGATCATGTAGTTTATGCATTGTAGGTGATCTTGTTGATATCTGATGATAGACATGACCGGACTGTTGGACCCAAAGAGTGTTGGAGACGTGCACATGGATGATGACCTGCTGAGTTGACAAATGGGCTTGCATCCGTTTATTTTGTAGTTGGGTTTCTTTTCACAACTCTAATATGTGTTAAACTCTATAAAGAACTTTTGAACTTGGGGCTTCCGAAGCTTATGGGATGAATGACTTTATCCTTGTTATCTCGTTAAGTAATTTTATAAGAAAAATATAAGTTTAGTTTAAAATATAAGAATATTCAACAGTAGAAGAGCGGTCGTGACAGTAAAACCAAACTAAGTTTAATTTTTATATAAATATGTGAACCAAATAACTTTATTTTATGATATAATTATGTGAACCGAAATATTATTTTTCTTGTAATTTATATTTTACATACATATAATAATAAAAAAATATATCGTTAGTAAGTAGAGTTAATAATAAATAAATATGTATAAATTACATTAATGCAAAAATTTAATAAAGATTTCAAAAATCGATACGTGAATTTGAAAAATATATAATTTAAATGTTATTTTTACTAATAATCTAAATATATGTAATAAAAGTAAGAAATAATATTTAAATACATTTTTCCATTCTTGTTAATACTTTACTTTTTAATTTTCTATTTTTATATACATATTTTTGATTTACAGTTTTAGTTTTATTAAATATTTAGATTGTTAATCAAAATAATAATTAAATTATATATTTTAAATTATATTAATATTTTTTTAAAAAAAGTTTATTAAACTTTTTCATAAATATAACTTATATGGATTAGTTTCATCATTCAAGTTAATTGCTAAATATAATTAATATTTTTGTCATAAATATGTAAAATATAGATTACAAAAATTAATATAATGGTTTACAGATTTATATCAGAAAGTAAAGTTAGTTTAACCTTACATTGTGAAGTTAAATAATAAAATTAGACTTGAATTGAGAAAATGTCAATCTTATATAGAAAGAATAAAATTCAATCGTTAAACTGATACAATTCAAAAAAAGTTGAATCTTAATTGAATTTTCTTAAATTTTAATTATAAACGCACACAATTACACAAAGTTTTGCTAGCTATATGAAGTCATAGAAGGTTGGTTCCAGAGTGGAGTCAGCCTTTTATACACCATAAGTAAACAATTATCGTATCATTTGATTACTTAAAAAATATATATATATTTTTTAATTGGTATAACTTTTATACACCACAAGTAAAAAAAATCATATTATCTCATTATTTAGAAAATAAAATTAACTTTTTCTAATTGGTATTTTTTACTTTCGCGAGAAGAGCGCATCATAGGAAAACTGTAATTACTATGGTTTAGAAAATCGGATCGGATTGGCCGATCCAACCGGTTGGACTGAGAACCGGTCAGTTGATCGGTTTGGTTCGTTGGAATTAACTGGTTGCCAGCGAATCGGTCAAAAACCGGTAAACGACCGTCAGGACCTACCAAAGTTATTATTAGTTAGTTTAAATATTTGAATGTTTTAAATTGACTTAATATGTAAGTAACAAAGTTTTATATATAAATTTTATTATATAAAATATTATACATGTTTAAAAATATTGATAAATTAAACAGTCTAACCGGTTCAACTACTTTCGGAGCAGTGAACTATTGAACCAATAGCTTGACCGGTTCGATGACCGATTTTCAAAACCTTGATTTTTAGAACCTTGGAGGGTGTTTGTTTATATAATTTTTCAATTCATACTCAAAATTTAACTCAATTTTAACCCAACTGTAATATCCTTAATATAATTAAATAGTATCAACCAATAAATCTTACGCATCACATTAACTTTAATTTACTATTCATCTACTCACATAATTTTAACTAACTATCACTTTATATCATCTCCCTTCTACTTTTATATTCAATCAACTTTAATTATTTTATTTTAAAATATTATTTTAATATAACAAGTAACAACTAACCATAGTGCCTTTGTTAAAATTAACTTTGATTAATAAAAAGGAATATATTTGTATCAAACATGTCCTTGGTAATTACACAATAAAATATTTATTATTTTCCAACAAAATTCCCTTCGTCTTCACTCTATCCACCGTCACCGGCTGCCGCCAACATACCATACTTTTCTTCTTTTCCTTCCTTTTCCTCTCCAAATCCTACACACATTGCTCACGAGTTCTCTTAATTTCTCTGTCGTCGATCCCAATCTCAACACCCTGATTTTGTCTTTTGATCTCTGTCCAGCTGTTCTCAGTCCACTCCTAGCCGATCCATTTTCCGGCACCCACGGCGGGTCTTCGCCGGCCGAGGGAATAAAAACAGGGGAGCCCAACAACCAAACGGCTCCTGAACTCATATTCTCATCTACATAGAGCTACTGCTATTTCACCAGCTGCAGAAGGGTTTACCACGTGCAAAATCCAGCCGTGATATCTCAGTTTCCTGCTGAAATCGAATTGCCATGGCCGCGGTTTCAGTTAATCAGTTTTCTCAGTGCATCACTTGCCATGCTTGGAGCCCAGATCACTCGAGTAATGTGAATTCTTATGTGTTTATTGGTCTTGTTTGAATGATCCTACGTAGTTGAATTGGTCGTAATATGCTATTCCTTGGATTGCAGTGATAGCGTTTTGTCCGAACAACAGTGAAGTGCATATCTATCAGCTTTTGGGAGGAAAGTGGGAGAAGATCCATGTTCTTCAAAAGGTAAGCTTGCAGTGTTGGTTGTAGTATATAAAAAATCATTTCCTGTAATTACCATTACAACAAGAAAGTTGAGAAATAGAGTGATATTTTTGCTTGTTGGTTGTAGTAGATAAAAAACCATAATGAGTAGTATTGTGCATATCAAAATCTGGCAAGCTATTGAGCTATGGATACAAATATATGCATAGTTCATGTCTCGTGGTTAGGATCAACACTCCAGGAAATGTAGGAAAAATGTATGAGCAAGATGTGTTGCCAGAGATTTCAAGATTTGTCACAGAGCTGGTTTCATTCTCATTTTGGTTTGAGTTCTTGATATCAATATTTAATCTCATCATCTAATTCATTGTCTTGATTAATCTTTCCTTTGTTTTCTCTTGGTTACAGCATGATCAAATTGTTTCTGGACTAGATTGGGGTGTAAGTTTGAACAGAATAGTTACTGTTGCTCATGATCGGAATTCGTAAGTGACAATGCATTTTGATTGATTTGGTTCACCAGATATCACTAATTTTTATGCTTTGGTTCATGATTCTTAACTTCTCTTAAGAGTAGTTGCCTGAAATTTTAATTACTCACTTTTTATTGATATGCCGAGTTTATCTTTTGTTAGTTACGTGTGGTCAAAAGAAGCATCAGAGTGGGTGCCAACCCTTGTTATCCTCAGGCTGAATCGTGCGGCACTATGTGTTCAATGGAGTCCCAAAGGTATGAAATTCTATTAAAGTTGTGTGGTGTTTTAAGTTTTTTGGTGCATGATGTTTGTGCTTAATAATTCTATATCTTTTCCATCTTCTGTTTTGTAAACAGGTATTCTAACACTTCTTGTTTTAATTAAAAAATAATAATGTAACTTGAAAGTTACCAGAGAATGTGTTGGGCTTACGAAATGAACTATGTGACAAATTTGATTTAGTCTTTTTAACTTTTTCTTCATTCAGAAAACAAGTTTGCTGCTGGAAGTGGGGCTAAAACTGTCTGTATATGCTACTATGAGCAAGAGAATAATTGGTAAAATTTCTTAGGTCCTGTTTCTTCCACTTTTGTCAGCTATACTATTATCATATAAGACTTGGTGATATAATTTATTCATAGAATTCAGGGGTATAAGTGTCTTTTGTATCTGTGCCTCAACTCTTATTTGTATCTGTATCATTGTTATACTTCCTACAGGTGGGTAAGTAAAATTATAAGAAAGCGGCATGACTCTTCTGTGACAAGTGTTGCCTGGCATCCTAATAATGTGAGTATGCCTCGTCTATTATCTCAACTTGTATATGTTGCTCACTGCACGGTTACCATTGTTTCCAATTAACGTTTCCATTTTCTACACTTCTATTATCTTTATATTAGAGGAACAACACAAGATTGGTTTATATCTTGACATACATTCACCTTAACATTCAAATGTGTTGATGCCTATGTAAATATTTACTGAAAGGATGAGAAAACATTATTGGCGAGCTAAAAGGTACATCCTATTTACTGTAAGTATTTTTTTTTTGGAGGGGGGGTTGGGATTGGTACGAATAAATGAACATAAATTGGATTGCAGAAATGCATTCAGATTTTGTTTCAGTAATTATTCACGCAGCTTCATTTATTTGATTATTTTTGTGTTTTTTTTACCTTTTAACTGTATCATGTTCTCAGATATTGCTTGCAACCACGTCAACTGATGGAAAGTGCCGTGTGTTCTGTACTTTCATCAAAGGTGTAGACGTCAAGTATGTTGCACTGGTGATACTGAATTTTCTTAGCCTTTGCCGTTCGCTGACCCTTCATTTTAAAACTGCGCACTTGTTTCCTGGCATCATCTTACAGGAACTCCACAGGTTCTTCTTCTTCTGATTCAAAGTTTGGAGAGGTCTGAATCTGTCCATTACTTTTTGTGTTTAAATTAAATTATTATTAGTTAGAGCCTATTAGTTGATGTGTGAGGAAATGCATGAACAATTTCCTTGTTTATTTTCTTTCCTTTCCCCACTCTATTGGACCAGCAAATCATGCAGCTTGATCTCTCATTTAGTTGGACATTTGGCATGAAGTGGACCCCACATGGCAATACCTTAGCCTACGTAGGTAAGATTTTTCATCAACAACAGGTAAGATTTTCATCACTTTGCTTTATTGATAGAAAGATCTCACTGCGTGACATGCTCTACTAGTAATCGCCTAATTTCTTTTGGCATGTGATTTGGAGTTCCATACACCTTTTCCCCCCCTCTATTTCTGCACTTATAAGCAAGTACCGTTTTATGTCTGAATTTGCTTTCTTAGTGCAATCTCATTCCTGAAAAAAAAAATGTCTTTGAAACATGTGAGTGAAAACCTTTGTGTATTATTTGATGTTTATTAACTAACACAAATCCTCAGGTCACAACTCAATGATATACTTTGTTGATGATGTTGGTCCTTCTCCATCTGCTCAGAGTGTAACTTTCAGGGATTTGCCTCTTCGCGATGTGGGTCAGCATCCACTCTTTAAAATTTTATCGTCTTTCCTATTTTCTTGTGATGATAGTGTTGATAAAAATTAATGATTGAGAAAATATATGATTTAGGTTCTATTCGTTTCTGAAAGAATGCTCATTGGCGTGGGATTTGATTGCAATCCAATGGTATTTGCAGCAGATGAAAGGGGATTATGGTGAGTTGAGGTTTTCCAATGTAGTAAATATACTAGTGCACTGCAATTGTCGTCGTTTGGTGATGGCCAAACTGTAAATTCACCAAAATAGCTAGTATTTAAATAAAATGAAGAGCTCTATAAACAGAGGATTAATTACAAAGCTAAGTTATAAAAAACCACCATTTATCTCTTAAAGAAATGTATTAAGTGAATCCAAACCTGTAACTCTTGTATGGGATTATCTGTAATCTGGCATGTGTTAAATCGTAACTAGGATAAATCTCAGGTGTACATTTCCGAATCATCCTTCTGGAGAATACACCAAAACATGTGTTGAAAGTTCCAACTAACAGCGCGTGTGTGTGTGTGTGTGTTTTTTTTTTTTTTTTTTNATGTAGGAGTTTCTTGAGGTTTCTCAATGAGACAAAACCAACTCCAGGAGCTAAATATGGTTCACAGGTAAGGCTTATAGTATTCTAAAGACAAAAACACCAATTCTCGTAAATGTTTAATTTGTTGATTGGCATAACAAACCATAATCTTCCTTTTCTTTTTTCTTTTTCTCCTTTTCTCTAGCGTTCTGGAACATTTGGCAAATTTTCCAGTCAATCAAAAAACGGAAGCAGTGACGAGAATAATGAAACTTCAAGAAGACATGAAAAATGCATTACGTATGTCCTTGCTATCTTCGCATTGGTTTCCCATTTTTACCCTTTTCTCCCTCTCTCTTGCTTTAGTTCATAATGCCTGTCCCTTTTTCTGCTTACAAAATTTAGTTCTATCGTGGCCCTCAAGGATGCAGGCGATATTACAATCACCAGCTTCAGCACTTCAGGTAAAAATAATCGCACTTAGAACAATTTTAACCCATTAATTTGAAAATTATTCGTGACTTTTATTTCGCTCCTTTACAAAAGGGTTGGATGGAAAGGTAATCATATGGGATTTACGAAGGGAACAAGATCTACTTGAGTATTTGTGAGGATGTGTTGCCCCTCGAGAATCTGTTGTCCGTTGGTCTATTCTTGCTGTATTTTATACAGGTTCATTTTACTTGCGCTTGCTGACTATAGTCAGTGGTTTGCGCTTTACATGTAATACAGTTGTCGCAATACAGTTGTCGCGATTCCATTTTTTTTTGTCCTTACGAATATGATTATATATGTGAATTTGTATCTGCACCAATTCTTGTTGATTACGTGATATACATAAACTTCGGAGTATTGTGATACACAGTTCTGTGATAGATTGAAAAAACAATTTTAAATCTTTTGGTGGATATATTTTAATAATACATTTCATCTTTGATTGTTTTTCATTACCATTTTGACTACAAAACCAGGGTCCAATTGAAACCAAGATAATTGAACCAACACCAAAACAACATAAACACGAGAGCCAAAAGGTAGATTGAAATCTATATAATGAGGCATAACAGAACAACAAGAACAACACTTCTAGCCCTCTCCAGAAGCTTTTATCCAAGTGGAGCAAAGCCGAGGTTGATCTACGGAAAGACCAAA